TTCACCATGGGGTTAGATGCCACTTTGGCTCCGTTGCAAGGCGCGTTCGACCAGGTAAAGTAACAATGGCGCGTGCCCGTTGGCCCGGCGAAGATGCCAGAAATCTAACACCCACACCATGGCAGGAATGACACAACTTTAAGACAAAAATTAATGTTCTATGCTCCACTGCTAAGACAATCGACGTGGTCACTCGCAACACTGGCATTCGCAGCACGTCGAGCTTGTTCGAGCGAGGAAAAGGCAGCATACGCTTCCAGCTGTAGTTCTTAACAAGCCGTAGCCGCGTTTTCACGCTAGAAAATCTACATTTTATGCGAAGCGTTGGTGGCTACAGCAACAAATTTTTGTCTTTATGTTCTGTCGTTCCACCGATAGGTATTCGCTGCAGTCAGAAAACCGATGGGCGTGCAACGTTACTTTATCAGGTCAATAGAGCCTCGCCAGCGTAGGGTGGGTGCTAAGGGGGGGAAGTGGTTATGTTGTAAAAAGGAAAACAAAAGAAAAGTGAGCCCCGTACCTGTCTGCTTCAGGGAGCGACACCTCAGCAGTAGCTCACAAGGAATGGGGGTGAGGAGGAATTAAAAGGATAGGAATAAAGGTGTAGAGAGAGAGAAAAAGAGATGAGGTAAGCGTGAGAGCGACGACATATCGAGGGTATAAGAGAAATAAGAAAGATGAAAACACGGTGACAGGAGTCGAGGACGGGGCACTACTTGCAAGAGCTCTTGTTGGTGTTAGGAGGTGGCATAGAGCAAGTCCAGTCGGTCAGAGCTACGCTGTCGTCGGAAGTCGTCAGCTTCAGGAGGTGACGTAGGGCGAGCCCAGTCGGCCAGAGCTACGCTGACGTCGGAGATCCCAAGGGCACAACCGGTCGGGCACGAAATCCAGCGAGCGAGTCCGGTGGGTGCTAAGAATATATTCAGTATATTTTAGGCACTATGTAGTTCGGATCTGCACGCTTCGACTGAAGGAGCAAGCTGCAGGTGGCCAACGTGGCCTGCATTCCTTGCCAATATTAGTGCACCTAAAAAAATTTTGAGGCTGACTGGACATTTTGGCGCAATGTGGCATGTTTTCAAACAATTTCACCGTTTTGGCGCAGCTCGTCTCAACAATCGGGAATTCTATCAAAACACCCCTGCTACAGTGTGTGTGTGTGGAGTACGTGTCAATACTGCGTGCAAAAGAAAACTCTAAATGGCCGTTTTGTAATCCTCAAAATGGTGTCGGTACTTTTTTTTTAAGGGGGTGTAGAATGAAAAGTTGAACCAGTTTGATTGCTTGCAATGAGTACTCTGCTAAGTAAGTTCAACTCAGAGGCTCACATGTGTGTCTGACGATGATGATCCTTTATATTGCTGGCACTCGCCCACAAAGGGGAACAACCAAAAACTGGGTGGCAGGATCTTTTAGTTAGTTGTGTATTTAAAAGCATTCAATAGAATTTCAGTAAAAAACAAATCGTAAATAATGTACGAAAATTCTACACGAGCTAGCGGTGAGGCAATCAGTCTTTCAGAGCCGAAAATAATAGTAACAATAGCCTAACAAGGTAATCTTTTTGTTTCCATTATCCACGCACACACAGCAGAGCAAACCTCCTTGTGGCTATAACCTAATGTAATCCCTCCAAACAATAAAATTACTGCCACATTTATTTCTATACCTGGCTTCTCAAATGGATTGACAAGGTATCTTTTCCTTTTATATAAGAATGTTGGTGATAGAATAAAAAGAAATGACCTATAGCGCACAGTCTCAATATGCCCGAAATTGAACAGGTTATGGTCGAAATTCTCCCTGGCAACATATCACAAAAAAGCGTGTACATGCTCAGTGTATACAGTAGTCACAGCCACCATCGACAAAGATTCACACGCTTGTTCCAGAAAGCTGTCCATCTCGCGGGGCCTAACCCGCTAGTGATTGCAGGAGATTTCAACGCCCCACATAGCGCCTGGGGCTACACGTACGACACAGCCAAAGGTAACGAGCTTTGGAAAAATGCGAATGACATGGGCCTTATTCTTATTTTGAACAAGGCCTTCCCCACTCGCACCGGTACGTCCACGCAAAAAGACACTACACCGGATCTCTGCTTTGTCAAGAATATCCTTGATGCCCGCTGGTCCAACCTCGCGGTAGATCTCGGTAGCGACCACTTCATATTAGCCGTACACCTCCCAACAGTAAGCAGGAAGACCAAGTCGTACACGTGGGTCGACTGGGACCTCCTTTGTAGGACTCGCGCAAAACGACCTCCTCTCTATACCCCACCGAGCCACGCCACTAGACGTGGACGGCCCAGCTCAAAGCTGATGTAAACAAGGCAACAAAACTATCAGTACAGACCTTCCAACCGAAAAGATGGACAGTCGTCTCGCCCGCTTAATTGAGGCCAAACAGTCTCTATTGGCCCGGTGAAAGGGCCAGCGCCTTAATCGGAGGTTACGCAAACGCATATCTCAGCAGTTTAAGACCATGATGGATCACTGCCGCACCCTTTCAAAATAGCAGTGGGACGAAATTTGTAACTTGATTGATGTTCAGGTTCGTAATGGCAAAACGTAGAACTTACTCAAACACCTCCTCAATGAAACCAACACCTGCACAAATCAGCGTCATTTGACCGTGAAGATACTTCATCAAGCTAAACGGACAGTGTCACTGGAAGATGTTGTCAAGAACCTCGTGAAAAAATATCTCCCGCTTTCCACGAGCCCTGTGACCCCTCACCCCGATTACTCTGGCAGCGACAATACCAACTTAGACGCCGACATTTCTATTGAAGATGTGCGCCGAGCTCTCCATGAGCTCAATGGCTGAGAACGCCTAAGACTGAGAATGCCATACGACTAGTACGTAGAGTAACCAATAGGCCCCATGGCCTCAAAGAAGACAACCTGCTGCGTCTCGTACACACGTTTGTTTTCTGCCATTTTACCTACGTTGCCGCTATACACAAATGGCTACGTGCTGAGCACGATCAACTCAATGCGCTTATTCGCAAGGTGGTCAAACGAGCCCTTGGCCTCCTTATCACCACTCCAACGTACCAACTTCTCGAACTTGGCGTACATAACACGCTAGAAGAGATTTCCGAAGCTCAGGAACGCGTCCAATTGACTCGACTCACCACCACTAAGGCGGGCCGCCATATTCTGCGTGAGTTCGGCGTCTTCTCCTCGAGGGCCAAGGACCCCCCAGAGTTGACCCTAATTTCCCGTGAAATCCGTGACCTTATCACGATCACTCCCATTCCACGAAATGTACACCCCAAATACAACAGAGGCAGGCGCCTTGCGCGGGCGACCACCATTCTCAAGCGCATACACATGGAAGCAGACAACGTCTCGTTCGTGGACGCCACTGCCTATCACAACCGAGCCTTCACCGCGGTTGCGGTATCATCCATGCAGCAGACTCTTAACTCTGCCATAATCCTCAGCCGAAACCCCAAAGTAGGGGAGCAAATACCTATAGCTATAGCTATGCTCGACTACAAACGGGAATCATCTACAGTGACTCCAGGCCAACCATCAAAGCCTTCGAACGCGGAGTCATCTCCGACCAGGCGCTACGTATCCTGCGCAAAGCAGACCCGAGTGCCCTGAAGCACCATACTATCATCTGGTTCCCCACCAATCTCGGCCAGGTGCCCTATCCAACCTCAACGAGATCGCTCATGATGCAGCGTGTGCATTTACCGACCGCACCGCCACAGGGCAACCCCATCTTGCTGGGTTAGATACCAATCGGGATGCACCGATTACCTACAATGAAATAACAGAGCACTTTTACCTGGAACGCCGCATTTTTACACCCCCACATTCGAAACTTAACCGACCGCAGGCATTAACCCTACGCCTATTACAGACACACACGTACCCAAACCTTGTCACGTTTAACATTTATTATTCTCATGCATACCCCAGCGACACATTCCCATCATGTGGACACACAGCGACACTCGCACACATGCTCTAGGAGTGTAGAACAACTCCTCCCGACTCTATTTCAAGCAAGTAGGAGAGGTCCCTCAGGAGCTCACTTCTCGCCGACCAGCAATAGGCCGTCCAGCAGGCCCACGAAGCAGCCGCGAGGTACTCCCTGTCGGTCCCTACGTGGGAGACGCCCGCTACGCGCTAAGCGCGTCTTGCAGGACTGAAATAAAGTTTTTTCATTCCATCTATTGTTTCCATTTCCTTGCAAGAGAGACATAACAGAGATACTGCGAGTCCAGCTTTATGCAAGTAATAATTCAGGTGCGAAATTCTACAAAGTAATCAGGTGATTGTAGTTGCTAACTGCCAAGATACGCACCACAATTTATTCCAGCAAAATCTCACATGTACAAGTCTCCGACTTTATCGAATCATACATTGCCGTATTTTCTTCTTAAATGATGTACTGATCCTCCCCTGCTGCCCTCTAAAAGCTTTCTGCACCTATATAACATTTTTTAGCACTGCCTTTGTGGTTAGCTCATAGTTGACCATAAAATGATGTCATCAAGTAATGTCATAGTGACATCACAAATTTCACCGGCCTGTGACATGACGACAGCATATGGTGACATCACCACATGCAATTCTTTGCATGTCACAAGTTGGTGGCATTGGTCGATGTCCATGTTTGATGAAGCATTCAAAGTTTTAACTTCAACAAATAAATCTTCAAGGGATCATAGCCAATGCTCTTCAAATATTTTATAACTTTTTTGTTGGGCGAGAGTTGGCGCATAACTTCGATGGGAATTCTTAAGCATTTCATTAGATGAACACAGGAAAAAGACAGAATGAAAAGATTTTTCTGTTCACTCTGTCCTTTTCGTGTATTCATCCGATCGAATACGCAACAATTGCCATTAAAGCTCTCTAAACAGCTTGCAGATGTGGTAGCACCATATTTATCCAAGTTAATTATGGTAAGAAAGTCGATGAGATACACCCCGAGAGTACTTTCACAAAGTGTCAAAAGCAGTTGAAGATCACGTAAGATAAATTAATGCTTTATTAAACAAATGATGTTATTATGAATACGCATGAACACTGCACACCGCAGTTCATGTTGTAACACTGTGAATATTGTACACATGTAAAGAAATACTTTCCGACATAACCATCAACTGAGTCATTGGCTTATGACACCAAGCTTTCGTATTGCTCGTTTATAAATATCGAGAAAAGTCCAATGAATTTACATTGTATTGTACACCAACCACATTATACCGTGTTAAGCACGTATGAATGGGTTAACTTAGGAGCTTTGCTTCTTGTATTTCCTGCGCAATTGTACCAGTTCATTTTGCTGTTCCCTGAGCAAATGCTCCACATTGTCCGTATCTGCTACACCAGAAACTTCAACAGCTTGCTTTGGTAAGTCCGAAGTTTGTGGCTTCAGTTCAACCACTGAAACTACCTTTCCCGGTGACAACCTTACCACCGGACTGGATGCCAACACAAACAGGTCTTCACTCTTCACAGAAGCCAGGTTTACAGAGCCGTTGAAAAAAAGGCTGTCGTTCAGGTGATACATGCTCACAACACATGGTCTGTCGATGCAGTTTGATGATCTCATGGCCATGTTTACACCATTTTTTTTCTTACTTGCTTTGCACTTGTTACTTGAAGATGGCGTTTCAACAGTTTGTGGCCTCCTGCGTAGCCTTCGCTTGCGCGTTCTGTATTCTCGCATGACCGTAGATCTTTTCTGGGGCGAGCGTTTTGGTGCTGTTGGTTTCGGGTTCTCTTTACGCTTTACAACTGGTGGAACATAGTCGCTAGCATCTGAGCTGCTTGTGCTGGATGAATCAGATGAACTGTTGTCGTCCAGCCTTTTCTTATTCCATGACTGAACATCTAATCTATTGCTGGACACCTCAAGCAGGCATTCTGGCTCAAACATCTTCTCCTTATCATTTTTAGCAGAGGACTCAGGCTTTGATGCTGTTGGAGGTGTTGGTTTCGAAACTGCCACACGTGCTGGCAACAAAGACTTTGCGCTCTGGAGCCCGAGAGCAACTGGAACCTTGACAATCACAACATTTGGAGGTGCAACAGGTCTACTGCCACCAGGAGGACACAGTGTTGGCGTTGATGGGGAAGCTATGACCTCTGGCTGCTTGGCGAGTAGATTCGCCATGGTACTGCTGCTTATCACATCTGGGACAAGAACCTTCGCCACTTGTGCAGGAACTGCTGAAGTCGCACCAGCAGATGGTTTAGTGAGCCCGGCCGGCTTTGAGTAAGAGGATTTCAGCACACTCTTGCTGGGCAAACTTGCAGTTGTAGTCTTACTCGAACCTGGTAGGGAAGGCACAACCGGAACAATCTGTTGCTGTGGGTTTACAAGCTTCTCAACAACTTGCCCACTTTCATTTATGTACCGAATCACACGAGGCAAGAATCCGATTGGCTTTTCAGGACCTGCAGTACTGCCGATAACGCGAATGGGTTTTAGTGACTTTAGGGCGAGACAATCCACCAGCTGTCCGCTCTCTGTGCGGCATTTGACCCGAACAGCCTTGAAGCCGGCTCGCACATCTGTCCCATCCATGGGAACCGTCGACTCTTCCACGACATTTTCAGCTTTGGCAGTCACTGGTTCACAGACCCCCTGCTTCCTGGTCTGCGCTGCAGAAGTCACAAGTGGTTCTGCACCAACATCGCTTGCAGATGCCGGTGCCTTGCAACTTCTGAGAATGGCCGGCCTGACCACTTTGGGAGCCACAATGGGTGGTGGCTGCACCTCCTCACTGTCTATGTCTCGAAAGTGAAACGTCTTCACATCTTTGCCATCCCAGTGTAGCTTAATGACTTCATCTTTCGAAAAGTTGTTTGATATGTTGTTCCTAATGAGGAATGCCTCAAGTCCATTCTTCACTTCATCAGAACTGATCACTGGCACCTCATCGGAAGTGATGACAATACGACGCAGAGGTTTATGAGAAGTACTGCTCTCTCGCGACACTGTGTCATCTTTTTTAGCGCTGGGCACCGAGTGGAGTGGAGATTTAGGTTTTGTTTTCGTGCAAGCTATACTGGGATTATGTGGAGATTTGTAAGCAGCTACTGCACCAGAACCACTGCAACCTTGTTCAAGGTCTCTTTGGTACACTTGTAGTGCCGGGGTGTCAGTTGAAACACCAGGCTCCCTTTTTATTCTGACTTCGGGGTCTGTTGTTATTGAACTGCCTTGAGACTTGCTGGCATCTGCCGAGTTCAGACCACTCGTACCTTGTCCAGATTTCTCTCTGCCTGGTTACAGTAGCTAGAGTGTCAGCTGTATCTGCAGGCTCTGTTTTTATAGTGACCTTGCTTTTTAGTGAAGTGCCTTGAGATGGCGTGGTGCTCACTGCACTTGTTCCACTTGAGCATGGTTTCGGGTTCTTCTTGCTTTTTTGTGGAACTCTACCCCTTACACGATGTAACAGAGACATAAGAAGCTCTTTTTCTCTGTCAGTAAACATGTCACAATCCTGAAGGGTATCTTCTTCAAGCAACCTGATGACCTCTCGTAACCTGTCCATCTTAGAACTTGGGCTGAGGGCTTGCCTTGCATTCCCTGCCACAGGCGCTGGTTTGAATACAATTTGTGATCCAATTACCGAATTTCCTTTCTTTGCTTGAAACGAACATAGCTCAATAACATCCATATCTGCCTTGTTTAGGTGAGGTGCCTCAATTTCCGAGTCAGTTTCTTCCTCATCTTCTTTTGAATCGGCGGAGCTACTGCCACTACTTTGCGCATAGCTTGAATCAGTGGATTCACCTCTTGCACTCTCTGGTGGTGCTACTCGAGCAGGAAAGGCCAAGTTTTCTTGTCCAGCCAAGCTGATGACACTAGATATCTTAATGCCACAAAAATCTTCTTTTTGCTGTTCAAAATCATGCTCGGCATTGGTAATTGTTTCTGAAACCTTATGTGTCATTTCACCAACTCTGTCCTGTTTATTACTTGAGGACATTGGCGCATCTGGTGACTTGCTTGGGGTGGCACCTTCTTCGGGGTCATTCGAGGACCTTGTCACACCTCGTGGCTTGCTTTGCGCAGAGAGTGAAGCATGATTGCTATTCACTTTCGTGGGCACTGTCGTTTTGCGACCTGGTAACACGAGTATCCTCTTGCTTGCAGGGACGCCTCCAGCCGGTGCTATGTGAATGACTGCTGGAGGTCGCTTGCCCAGAATAGAATTCAAGGGTCTGGCTGTTGAACTGGCCGTTTGGCTGTTCTGCTGATTCTCTGTTTTGGACAAAACAGATGAAGTTACAGATGTCCTGGAAGGAGCTGTCTTTGCTTGTGTAGACGCCGCAACAATGAGCTTCGGAGCACTGTCACTGACCCTCGCAAGATTACTCGTCGTTGTAGTAGCTGCGATTTGAACCAACGTGACTGTGCTTCCCGTTGTAGTGTTCGAGAGCTTGTTTGCATTAGAGGGCGAATGTTGCTTGGACACAATGCTACAGCTCAACTCCTTGGCGGTGAGATTCGAATGTTGAGCTGTTATCACCGTCTTGCCGTTCTGAATCATTTTGACAACAAGAACAGTGTCGGCGTTCTTGACTGGCTTCATCGTTATTGGCTGGCTGTGGGGGCAGCCTTTTTGAGATGGCTTCCTTCTGACCAAACGGGCTTTCTGGCAATGGCTTGGGCTTGTCCAATTGATGAACCACCGGTGCTGTGGCCAAATCACTAGAAGCTGCATAGGGATTACGCCACAGCTTAACAGGCACCACCTGGGCAGAGCTCTTTGGCGGTAACGTTCCCGGTACATTCTCTCTATTGGGAGTTAAAGCAGTGCTTTTGTCTGGCACAGACCTAATAGGGGTCAGAACCGTTCCCTTCGGTAAGATAGGGCCCGATGTAGACAACAGTGAAGCACTTTCATCACTACCCTTTCCCAAGGGTGAATGTGTGCTCTGATGAGTCGCCGCATGTGTTATGGGTGTTGCATCCTTCGGCTCAGATGTAGCGGCTCTTCTTGACATTGTACCCCAATGTTCAAGAGGAACTGGGATCTCAGGTTCTGTTACGATGGTCAGGTCATGCCTGCAAAGATATTTTATACTTTCAGAGTCAAATGCAAAATGTTGCGAGCGGGCACACCAAACAGTATGCAAGCATAAAAAATGCATATGGTGCTTAGGACTATAAACCGCAATGAAAGAAAAACCTACCAAGTGACATTAAACAAGGCTGAAAAATTGCATTCATGAAAGAATGTCTATGCTACGAAACCTATCTTAGCCTCTTAATTCCTCACTATAGCAAATTTTATGGCTCTTTTAACATACCTTCAGTGGTTAAGCTTTTGACCACACACACAAAAAAAAGCATGACTAGTGATAAAAGCATGACTAGTGATTTCCCCAAATAAATGCACTAGTAAATTCTTATAGATGCAGACCTTGTCTAAAAGTCGTTAGGCATTACTTTTATCACTATTTCATGACGAGATGGACAAGTGTCCAGGCACCAAGCAGAGCAAGTACATGAGCAAAAATCACACATAAAATGCAATCAAAGTGGGTGTTTCTTTCTTGAGAAATTAACAAATGCTGGAATGTACACCAAAATATATAAAATGCATAGTTACCTTAATAAAAACAAGAGGATTTACTAAACCCAGATATTCTTAACACCAGAAAATTAGTATGGCTTAAGGGGGGGCGCGGCAAGTAAAGTGCCGATTTTGGTCAAAATATGCGATTTTCTGATTTATTTTTTTTCGTAATCTTCAGACCTTCAACTTCCTTGTTCTAAAATATTACAGCGAAACGTGCGCTACAAATCCCGCAAATAGTGTTTTTGCCGAGGCTAGTCGCCGAAAAGTGCGAAAAAAAAGCCCCTGAAACGGTGTTGTTCACGCCGCGCAAACGCGCCAAGTTGTTGACCGTGGGCCGCCATTTTGGTAGCTTTGGAAAGAGGAGCAAGCCGGCTTCCCGATGGTCGCGGTCTCGTATTTCGCCGAGTGAAAATAAAAGCGCGAGGATCAAGTAAAAAAACGAAAACGAAGAACGGCAATTGGCTGCGCGGGTCACGTGGTAGCAGGCGCGACCTCTTACTGGTCAAAGCTGCGCCGCGCACCTTGGCAACCTTGGAAGCGCGAGCCATAGAGGAGGTCTATAACTTTGTGCCCGAGCGGTCGGTCCCTCAGCGCCGTCCCCCGAGCTATTATGGGATGCGAGCGCTCCTGGCGGAGCGCCGAGGCGCAAAACGAGAGAATGGATGGCAGCTATGGAGAAAAAACCGGCTTTGAGTAACTACCGAAAGGGCAAAAATGAAATAAGGAGGGAGGCATTTTACGATAATTCAAGGGGAAGCGCTTTACTGTTTGAAGCGAGATCGGGTTGCCTTAGAACGCGTAGTTATAAAGCAAGATTCAGTAAAGAAGAAGAACAATGCACATGCTGCGGGAAAGATAAGGAAACGGCGGAGCATGTTCTGATTGAATGTGGAGATATCCACCCAGGTGTACTCCTGTATCCGTCAACTGAGCTCGTAATGGTTCTAAATTCTCTAAAGAATTACGCGGAAGTTTTCCTCGCAAGAGCGAGAAAGATGAATCAGCCACTGAAGGCTGCCGTTGACAACGCCGCGCAAATACTACAGAAACGTGACAAACTCAAGTGCTCGACCCGGGACATCATAAAAAACTTTGGAGGTTGTGCTCGTGAAGTTTCTCCGCCACTTTTTCTGAACTTCGCGACGAGTGTGACTGACAAACACGACTTGGCGAAAGATTTTCATGTCAAACCATTGTCTCGAAAAGTGCTCAAGCTTTGAGCGCGAAATCAAATAACAAAGCTCACATTGCATTCTGCATACAGTGCTTGTGTTAAAAATTTGGTGTGTGCGCACTTCTTAACGTATACGCATAATCCAATGCAATGTAGACGGTTTCTAGACCGTCATAAACGCAAGCGTGCATAGGCCGCGTCGTCTGCTGTTATTATGGGATCGGTGCGGCATCTGGCGGCGAGCGCCAAAACTATAAGGGACGGATGGCGCGTATGTATTTAGCGCTACTGCGCGGGCACAAAAAAATATAGGAGGCTATGCGCGAGCGCATCTGCGGCCGCCGAGTCGAGAATCATCCGGCGTGCGCTTAGTTTTTTGCCAGTTGGCTGTTTTTGTGATAGTTCGCGTGCTTTTTTTACCAAGCTTTGTTTACATCGGTGGTCTCTTCTGAGTGCTTGCTCATACTGCGGTGCTATGTTGTCGCAAAAAAAGTTCCGGAGCGTCCACAAGTACGGCAAGCGTCGGAAAGCTTGGAACAAAGGGCAGACGACTGCGGCTGCCGTCCCAGTCGCAGTTCCGGACGGAGCATGCTCTTCAAGCGTCACGGAGCCTCTACTCAGACCCTTCGCTGATTGTTGTGAGGCCGAGAGTGTGGAAGGTGCCACATCGTCGTATGTCAGACCGCCGGATGCCGTCGACCGTGATGGACGCTCTCGCGAACCCGATTGCGGTGGCACCGCGTCGGCAGCCGTTGCAACTCCGGGCGTGCGCGCGTCGAACATTCTATCGCGAGTTTCGGCCCAGATTCCGAGCAGTGAAGAAATCGCGCAGCGGGCGCAGACAAGGCGGGATGTTTTGGATGCCGTAGCATCGAAATCCGCTTCAAAGCGGAAGCTCGAGCTTCTGAACGAAGGCTGCGACGAAAATGACGGCGGTAAGGACTCCACATTCTTCATTGTAAATAAGAAGATGCTGAACGGTCTGCTTTCGTCAGTAAAGTGCAACAAGTGCGACGAAGGGTCGATACGCCTCGAGACTACGCACTGCCTTGGACTCGCGGCGAGGATGGAACTTTTTTGTGACAATTGTGGATAGTGAACAGTGCGTGGTCGTCCCCGAGGTGCTCCGGGCAACAAAAAACGAACCCCTTTGAGGTAAACGTGCGTGCTTTGAGGGCTGTGCAGTCAGTTGGCAGAAAACAATCTGCCATAAATGACATTTTTTCTGCGATAGACATTTCGCATCGAGCACTGCACCACAAGTCCTACCAGAGACTGCAAAGGAAGTACAGCCACCCTGCCACCACATCAGCTGCCACCCGCATTGAAGCAGAAAGTGCACAGAAGGTGCATGACATTTACAAGGACCTAGGAGGAGTGCCAGGCAACATTGACGTCATTTACGACGGCACGTGGATGACGAGGGGGCACAGAAGTCATATTGGCGTGGGCTGTGTAATCGAGCTGTACACAGGCTTGGTCTTGGACCACTGTGTCCTGTCCAACTACTGCCAAGGCTGTGCTGTTGGTCCCAAGCCTGGTGACGACAACTATGAGGAGTGGCTTGAGAAACACAAGCCACAGTGCCAAAAGAACACCGATGCTAATGCAGGCCAAATGGAAGTAGAAGCAGCGAGGATCATGTTTGAAAGATCGTTTACCAAGTACAAGCTTCGATACATCAATGTGCTCTGCAACGGTGACAGCCGTACGTACCTTGCCCTCACGCAAGACAAGGTGTATGGCTACATGTTGATTAAGAAACAGGAGTGTGTGAACCATGTGAAAAAAAGAATGGGCACTTCCTTGCGCAACCTTCTTGATGAGCACAAATCCAAAGGCCGAGGACTGAGCATGGGTGGCAAAGGCCGGCTGACGCAGGGCCTTATAAAGAAGTTGACGAATTATTATGGCTGGGCCATTAAGAGCCACCCCAACAATGTTCCTGGCATGGAGAGGGCCATCATGGCCACTTATTACCATGTAACATCCACAGACCAGGATCCACACCACGACCTGTGCCCAAGTGGGACTGACTCCTGGTGCCCGCACAATCAGGCATTGGCCAAGGGAGAGCCGCTGCCGCCTCACAAACATAAACTGCCCCCTCACGTGCGAGTGGCACTGCTGCCAATCTACAAGCGCCTCTCGAACAAAGAGCTCCTTGAAAGGTGTGCGCAGGGAAAAACCCAGAACGCTGTGGAGAGTATGAACAGCCTCATTTGGTCACTCCAGTCCAAGAGCCAGTTCGCCTCCCTTCGAAGTGTGGAAAGTGCAGTTGCAGATGCAGTCTGCCGTTTCAATGGTGGCTGCAAGAGTGCGCTGCAAGAGATCACTGCTCAACTGGGCTTCAATCCAGGAGACTGCTCTTTGCGGCGAGCAGCCGAAAAGGATGCCAAAAGGGTGAAGAGGGCTCAAAAGACGCATTGTTCCACGACAAAGAAGCGCAAAACTGGGTTGCGCTCTACAGAGGCCAAGGCCACAGCATCTCAGGATTACTGCCCAGGAGGATTCTGAGTGTTTTAGGCATGTTGTGAACTTCCAAACAAGAGTGAACTTCAAAGTCAGTTTTCTCAACTCTTGATTTTCGCCTATGTGCCTTCGCTAGAACATCTGTCATTTTTTAACAAAGACTGATAGAGTCGTTCCGTTTTTTGCACTAGGCTCAGGAGGCCTTTAGCAGTGCAATAAAGCTTTATCTCTCTTCTTACTCATCATTTAAAATTTTTAGAACACATTTTATAATTACTGCGATGTGTGCGCAAAACAACATCCATGTTTTGGAAATTTTATTTATGGTTACAAGAACTAGAAAAATCAACTAATAGCTTCTTTGCACAAGTTGATGCTTTGGGAACATAATAATATGAAAAAATAATTTCATTTAGCAATAATTATCTCTTTAAGTGCGAATAGCATTAATTAGTATAATTATGCTTGTAACTCAAAAAGTACAAGAGGTATTTGAAAACGGTTTTCTTATTTGGAATCCTCACAATCATCCACATACACACACCAAATTTCATCACAAACAGTACATTAATAAAAAAATTAGTTTTACTTGCCACGTCCCCCCTTAACTCTTTCATGCACAGAACTCCAGAAAACAGAGTTTTATTGAAAAAAAGGCAATTTTTGTTAAAAGATATCAGGTGACCACCATGCAGTAAGGGTCTACTGAAGATTTGCTTGTTTATCAAGTTGGTACATACTTAGTAAACTAAAAAAAGCCACAAAATGTCGAAATTGCAAAAGCAGAGCTGTAAAAACAGAGACAGACAGCAAAGACTTGGCACTAACTACTGACGT